TGCGTCGTGTAAAGAAGCGCTCTCGTGTGTCATATATGTTATTTAAATCTCTGTAAAATATTCACGTACGCATGATGTAAAAATTCAGTATCCGATTGTAAATTTAGTCCATTAGATTGTAACGCAATATACATCATTTCCGCGACTGATCTTCTGTTAAAATATCTCTCACTGTTTTTAATTGTAACATTTAACCAATCAAATTCATGCCCCTCCAATCTATGTTGAGTAACAACAGATTTGGTAACTGCTGTTCTATTGGTTGCGATGTTCCGATATATTTTTCGTTTTAAGCTTTCTGCCTGTTTGACCAACGTATGTTGCGTCACAATCCTTACAACAAATTTCTAACTTTGAATTTTAATTATGAAGGATGCCGTTTGATCGGAACGATGGAGTCAATTAATCTGACGTGTGTGTATCGTGGATTGCGTGGATTTACATTGGCTTGACTCGCTTCTTTGCGTATTAGCATGGAGTTGATTGGGATATGTATAAAATTTTTTGCAATTTAATTTCACTGAAGATGACTGGAATTCAGTCGAAACGTATGAATTTTGTAATTTTGTAATCTTTTGAAAGAGATTGTTTAATATATTTATATTTTAACGCATTGTCAACCGCGTAGATTTTTAAATTTACTCTCACTTGCCTGTTTTGTAATATATATAAAAATCAGTTATTTTGTAAAAAAAAAAAAGAATATATAAACTAACACAAACCTATTAAAGTTTGGTTGACGACTCATGAATTAATACAAATTAATGAATAAATTAAAACAAATATGACAGGTAATGTGAGTCAACCGCTGGTTATAATTTGCGAATAATTTTAAATACATATTACAAAGCTAAGCAACCTTTATTTCGATGACGTTTATAAAATTGCTTATCGTATTGTACGTTTCGACTCTTGTTTTGAGTCATCTTCAGCGAATCATTATAGAATAAAATATAATAGTTTGACATCTCGATATTCATACTCCTAAGATTGCAGACACAACGATCGTGAAATGAGCCTTATACTCACAATCAGTTAGTTAGTATGCTAATGGTGATGAAAAAACTCAGTTATTTTGTTCCAATGCAAAAATAATTCATCTGTGACTTCTTCTCTGCATTGTTTTGTTACCATTATAAGACGTAGGTTCACGTGGCTTCTAAAGCAAGAAATTACTCGTGATATAAAATTTTGTACGTACAATCCGTATATTCTTTGCTAGCACTCGATACGGGATGGTTGGCCATGAAATCAATCCCCTATCGCGCAATATTTTTGCGACGTCGACTAGATGGGTCCTGGAGGTGGGGCGGTTGGAAACGTGATTACACGGCGCGCTTTCTCTCCGCAATTAACGGAGCAGACTGAATCGTAAGTCGCTGAACCGCGTAATGATGATATATTCCATGAGGGTTACAGCAGTGGGTGTATCTGGGAGAGGACTGTGTCCTGTCGACGGGAATTCGTTTACAGTCGGAATGACGACGGCGATTAATCGATCGATTTCGCGGACAACATTGACTACAACGCCAGTCTCCGATTCTGTTTCCAGCGTATGTGAGACGAACCGTGATAGCGATTTACTGTCTAAGCAGAATAGCGTTACACGAAAACTGTTTGCATTTGCGACTTGCTCGCAATCCGTTTTAATTATCCTTTTTCGTAATTGTGTCATTCTTATCAGAGGGATGACATTTCGCGAAGCTTTAATCGCGGAGATTGTAGCGTCAATTATTTTCGTTGACCTACTGCACGTAGAACATACAGTCATGTAACCAGGATTAGGAAAGTTATTTTACAAATTACTCATATATACATATATATACATATACATATTGTATATATAAGTTATTTTTATTTTAAAAATTGATTGCAATAAGTACAGATATTTTATTTTTTATATTAAAAAATTGATTAGAATTAAAAAATGGGCTAATAAAAGTTAATTGCGGTAGCTCGAATATAAAACTTATCTATTTATTAAATATAGTACTTATAAGTATCAATTAAACATGATTTGAACGTTGACCATGTCATTCTCGAGTTCTAATTTTAATATTTATTTATTTTTATTTCATACGTTATTTTATCATTTACTCCAATTTTGTATTATATTTTTTGTGTTCAATTTTTATAACACAGATACATATAAGATAACTTACAAAGTAATTTTCTCAATCCTGTGATTACTGACAAAACCATTATTATATTTCGATGTATCAATCATTAAAGTGATGAAGATAATGATATATAATTAAAAAAAAACTATTAATAATTATCTAACAGTAAAAGTTAGAAAGACATTTCAACAAGTTTAATCTCATAAATAACATTTTTTAGTGATTGGTCATAAAATCTATAGCTTAAATAATATTAGATAGCTTACAGTTGAAAAAATTTTTGTTAAATTTAATACATTTTTGATATTGTAAATTAACGAGAACACATGGTCCACTCAAATGGTCTACTCAAATTTTTATGTTATTTTACACAAGTTGAAAGTAACACAATGTGTAAAAAATTAACACAAAAAATGTTACACTGACATAATTTGTAAGTAAAATTGCGTACATATTTTTTCAGTAAAATTAACATTTATGATATATCATTAAATTAACACGTATTTTATTCACATATATGTATTTTAGAATTTACAGTTTAAAACACGATATTTATATGTTATTTTTATTATTGCTTATTCATAAATTGTGTTATTTTTGACACTGAAAAGTGTTGAATATTCAATGTAACATAAAATATTTAAACAATAACATTATGTTAAATTAATTAATACTTGAACATAAAAAATTTAACACGAAATTTTAATAAAGATTTGCGTGGACTTCCGTTTCTAACATAAATATAAAGTAGGTATTTTTTATTGTGTATTTTAAAAAATATTTATAACTTGGATATAAAATTGTACACTTTCAATCGTCGCATAGTTTTTGTTCAAATTATAGACTTGAATGTCATTACGCTAGAATAGAATGGGAAGATTACCGATTTTATCGCGATTTATTTACGCTTTGTTATTTCTGTATATGTTAGAAGTACATGAAATCCAACGAATATTTCAAAAAGAACTTTTACTGTACAACATTGTCGGTCTCCAGTTGATCGGTATTGTCGTATCTAGCGTTCTTAGTCCGAATAAATTCTCGGAAAAAGGGAAAAAACGGGTTTTTTCGGTTTTTTCTTCTATATTTTTCCAACATTTTTTTCTTTACAATAATTTTATTTATATTTAAATTACTAATTCCTTTTACTTTTAACTAACTTTTAACAATTTTTAAGAAATTTTTTTAGAATTTATGAATAAGTTTCTCTCTCTCTCTCATATGGCAAAGACGTTGTGAATATTAAAAAAATCTATACACGTAACGTGACCAGGACGCCCCATAATATTGAAAATAATTGTAAATAAAACTGTTGAACAAAGAACTCTAACCTAATCATGACAAAAAGTATAACTGTGAAATTATAAAATTATATTTTATCGATCTGGTAGTATAAAGAGATGAAAATAATTATCTTTTGTAAATCTTGAATCAGTATATATTGATATTTTTGATATGTAAACGATTGTTAACAACGAGAATGAGACAAACAGATATAAACATTAAAACAGATATACCTCGTGTGTTGAAAACAGAGAAAGCAAAGACGCTGAGTGCAAAAAATGTAAGCAAGGAGAACAAATCTTAGGTTTGTTCTTTTTTTATATTCCAGAACAGAATCTTTTGCATGAAAATATTTACCCTTTTGGCTTCTTCTTTCTAAAATGAAAAGAAAAAGAGGATTGATAAACCGTGTAAAAAGTTTAATACCAGAGTATGGAAAAAGAATTTTCTTATAAGGATGTTATTGCTTATTAATTATTACATACTGTATTGCTATATGATTGCTTCGTACGACAAAGTTTGCAGATATGTTCATAAATATCATAATCATATCAATCATTCGTTTCGTATCTTCGTATCAATCGGTATTGTTCGTAATTCGTATCTCGTATCAATCGTACGTATTATTGTCTGTATCTGTTAAACAGAGTTTTTTTTTTAATTTTTCCGTATTTTTCGGGAAAAGAACTGAAAAATACACAATTTCTCTCTCGATTTTATTTTTTCGGAAAATTACGAACTCTAGTCATATCATTGATACAGAAAAAAATATCTGCCGATTACACACGCGCTTTTAAATTGATCTTCGGCCGCGATCTCGTGATTCTTTTTATGTCGATGGAGAACCCAGGGGAACCCTCGCGTTTTCGATCTTGGTCCGGAGGGGTTTTTGCGCTGTTTTCCGCTCTCGTATAGCGCTCTGGATACGAGCTGCATTATACTGTACCCACGGGAGATATATTCGCTCCAATATTCCGTTTTCATTCCACCATATTGATTTAAATTATTAATTGCGAATTTATCTTCGACTGATGAAATGTTACATTTAATGATACAACAACGACGTGCACATTTTTCTCGGTTGTTTATTTATAGAGCGCACATTAAGATCGATCGACATTATTCGTTAAATTTTAATACTATCGCCTTTCCTTCCATTCTTGATTAATTTAAATTTTCGTCGTTATCTTGCGTTAACCACGATTATACAATATGCCAACTAAACTAAAGATATACATCTCTGTCTTACTTTCATTAGATAACTTTATAATATAAATATTAAACGGGGAAGACATAACATACAAGAGAGAGCTAAAAAATATTTTAGATTTTAATAACATTTTCCAAAGCTAAAAATAAATATTTTTTATATTAAAAATCGTTATTTATAGATGGAATCTTCTTTTTGAATCAGATCCTTATTACAGTAATGTTAATATCATTTTAGTTAATATAAGATTTTATTTTGTTTATTAAAACATAGCGAAGTCATTTCTCTTACAGTCTAGTTTTTTTTACATCGAAACAAAATTAGTATAATTTCATATTTTTAAATAATGTCTATGCTAGTAATAAAAAACCAATATTTTCCGAAAAAAAAAACGGCAAAAATTGACCTTTTTTTATTAAAAGCAATAAAATAAATAAAAATTTTATTATCGATATTCTAATTTAGTATTCCAGTATCACTATTCCAGTCTAGCGTCAATTGAGAGTGTTTTTCAATTCAAGTTATATGTAAAATAAAATAGTAATAGATGGAATATGGAAATCGAGGTAACAAATTCGTTTTTTGTCACAAGATATAGAATTTAAGAGACATAATATTACTTTTACTAATAAACGCGAACTATTCTATATTGGTAAAAATTTTTAATTCTATTATTATTATTGTTTTTCTTATAAAATACTAAAAATAAATATAACATTCAATAACATTAATTATATTGGCTACATTTACACCGTAAATTTAGGCCACGGCCTATACCTTAAATTCGACCTTATAAATTATTCAGGATCCACACTGTAAACACTCGTAAAATGACCTGGCTTGGCTGTAGGTCAGGTTTCGGTTTTTAATGATCTAACCTGAAATAGGCCGCCTGTAACTTCGATGTAAATGCGCGCTATCCGACCTAAAACCATCATTTGTTAATCTCAAATTGACGTATGTCATGTCGTTGATGATTAGAGTCCCTATAATAAGGAGTCTGGCCAATCTTTCTAGTTTGACAAAACATGACGTCGTAGATAAAGGCACAGTATAGGTAAGTACAGTAGTTTTACTCTCCAAAATTTATGGTTGCGCGAATCGCACCACTTTCATCATGGCGTCGATGTCACGTATGGATACTGTGTCACTGTGTGTCACTGTGGTGTCGATGTGTGCAGTGAAAACAAAGGCCTCGCACAACCAACAACATGGCTGACTGTAGGACACATAGATCAAAGGTACCGACACGGAGTGAAACTACTGTACTTACTTATACTGTGATAAAGGTATGGTCAACTGATGTGATATTATAAATATATCGTAAACAATATATAATCATTATAAATAAATAAAATCAATAATTTTTTAATACATAATTTTATAAAAGATCACAGACTGTGTAAAAAGTAAGTGAAATATATATATATATATATAATAGAAAACAAATTATACATGTTGACATAAAAATCAATTTCTAATCTTTAAAATTGTATCTATTCAAAATGTGCATTATAACTAACAAATTTTATAGAAAATGCCCGGCTGCTGCGTGCCTTATTGCTTTAATAGTACCGAAAGTATTAGTATTTGAGGCATCTTATTGGTTTCGCCATATTTTGTCAGCACCAATAGAATTAATAATAACTTGAATTAATAACCAGATTATTATAGGGACCCTTATTATAGGGACTCTAGTACTGATCGATCGACCAGATCTGGTCTAAGAACACTAAATCAGTAAAATGTCATATGTCATCAGACTCAGATTGATGGAATTTTTTAATAATTTTAATTGTAATAATATAAACTGTATTTTTATTTTCGAGTCTTAAATTTCTCGTTTTTTTACTCAATACTCTAACAAAAATTAATTAAAATATTTTAAAATTCTATCTAAAAGTTCATAAAAATAGGAGAGGTCCGATTCGGAACTCACAGTTCCAAATCGGATCGGAAAATGCATTTTTACATTTTCCATTATAGTTCGACACAAGTAAAAGATACGTCAAAATGGTCTGAAGCAAAAATGAAGGAAATTAAATAATCTTTCAAACAGCATTGGTTTTATGATCGGACTTTATTTACGCCTTAAGAAAACAAAAACTGCAAATGGGTCTGATTTAGATCACTCTCCGCTATACGTATATAATTAAATAACGTAAAATATAAAATTGAACTCGTGAAGAAATGCAAATTTGTCACACCTTCTTGTCCTCGGTCTTCCGTGAGCTCTTGGAGAAGAAGTTGTCCTGGTCGCCAGTGGCATTGGAGACTGTCGCTGCGCGGCCGGTGCCAGCATCCTGATTGAGCAGAGGCACCGTGCCTAGTTCCGGTACCGCATAATCGTACGACGTGTCAACTGCACCATTCGCGTACACTGCTGCAGATGATATAGCAAAGGAGGAGCGAGTGCAGAAGGAGATGATGTATTGATTGCGGTCAGGGCGAATGCTTTGTTGCCGGGACGTATACGTATGTAGGTGCACAAAAGCCGTTGGCTCAGGAGCCGCGAGATTTGAATGTGTGTACATGGAGTGCGTGCATTTGTATGTATAAATATACAGGATGTCCCAGACTAACCGGAAAATATTACATGAACAGGTAGAGCGGACTGAACTGAATCGAAAAGTCCTCTACCATTTTGCAATTTTCGCAATAGTCAACGATAGAAACCTAGATAACAGAGATGCGTTATTGAAGGGTATGGTTTGATTGGCTGTCTAAATCACGTGATCAGAGCGCCATTTTAATTCACTATTGCATCTAATGCATCAATATAGATATAGTTTTATAACGTATGTACACACATATATATATATATATAGAGAAAAATTTAGACAATACAGTGTCGAAGTGCAATAAAAAATTATTATTATGGTGTAAGTATTCTTATTTGTGTGAATATTTAGTATTGGACTTAACCTAACCTAACCTAATCTTTTCTACCTTTTGCATCAACTGTCATCGCTTATTGGTTAAAAGCACTTATATTGAATTAAACTGGCGGTGGCTACCTAACCCAACCGACGCAATAACGCATCTCTGTTATCTAGGTCTCTAGTCAACGAGATAGGTAATAATTGGTAAAAATTATCGAATACGTGCGTCCGCCCGGCCTACTACTGCCAACAGTGTACGCCCATGATAGCTCGATGACGCGCGGACCGCGGGGACTGCCTGGCAAGCGTCCCACGCCGCGCATAAAAAGGTGCCATTTCATGCAGCGAAGCTTCGCTGGCGAAGACCCCCCACTCCGCCTGGCGTTCCTCGCTCTTCGCTAAAACCCCGTATCCTTTTCATGGGCAAAGCTTCGCCAGCGATGTCCCGCTACTTTTGAAAAATAGCGATAAGAATCTATTAGAAAATGTTTTTATATACATTTTTTAATGTATATCGCATTTTAGATGAAACAATCAATTGCATGTCGGATAATAAACCTATATGTATGCAAAAGCAACAGTCTCGATCAATATTCCATACGTCATGCATTGTAAAAATTTGGGAACCGCATAGAATGCATTATTATATTTGTCATTATTGCTCAAGTTTTGCAATAGAATAAAGTACCAAAACTGATATTTGTAGTCGTAAACTTTAATCACAATTTCTAATATTACATTAAAAGTGTAATTAATTATAGCTTTGCGTTTATTAATGATTGTTATTATTCACAGACTTTATAGATTTATAAAAATTGCCAGTGTATATTATTAAAAAATGTTTTATATTATAGTTTTATTATTATAGTTACTTAATAATTTCTAATAAATATGTTAAACGCTGACGGAAGCAAGTATGTAAAATAAAATGAAACATCATAATTAGCTTAAAATTCCAGTAAATATCGATTGATGAAAATAATCATAAAGTTGAAAAACTTGTAAACAAAAGTACAAAATTGTATAAAAACAAATACATTAATGTAAAAAAAGTACGTAAAAATATTAAAACTATATTAACTGATTTTGTAACAAATGTTTTAACAAATTTTTTCAAAATAAATATTTCTTACATTTTTAATTTGCATTTTTAAATTTATAAAAGATACTGATTTATTTTAACAATATATTATTATTTTTTATTTCGTTAAAACGATTAAAACAGCTTTCTACAGAGCTCCAAATGTAGTTAACGATTTTATCACTAATCATTAACTACGTAAAAGTATTTTTCTTTGCAAGACACAGTTGAAGTCAAAAGTCCGCTTCAAAAATATTATTATTCGAGATTAAGAGACACGTCAAGCAGTCAAGCAAAGCTTCGCTCATAGTTGGACAGTGTCGAACTATGAGCGAAGCTTCGCTCGCTAAAGATTTTCGCATGAATTGACGGAGTGGGGGGTCTTCGCCAGCGAAGCTTCGCTGCATGAAATAGCACCTTACGCCGCGTGCTGCGAGCCGCAATCGTCGTGTCTCAGACAGCGGTGCGCTTGCCAAGCAGTCCCCGCTCTTCGCGGTCCACGCGCCATCGAGCTATTATGGGCGTACACTGTTGGCAGTAGTAGGCCGAGCGGACGCACATGGAAAAAAATAGATTCGCTGATTCAGCAAAACTTGCATATATACAATCTAAAATACTATAATTAGGTTAGGTTAGGTTCTAATCTTGCGACCTGCGACCCGTATTCTGCGTGCTATGAAGATCCAGCTTAATATAAATTGTATTCTTTCAATTTTTCAATAAAAACCATTTATCAGAATTTGTTGTTTTAATTAACTTAAACTGTTAGAGCAACTAATTCTTTGCTACAATGAAGATTGCTAATGTAACAAGTTTCTTCATTATAGCAGCAAAAGTATGCGCTATCTTAGCTAGCATGTTTTATTACAAATTTTAATCTTTATACTAGATAAATTCATTTTTGCAGAAAGTTACCTTTGCTATATTAACAAATTTGCTTTGCTATTAGAACGAATAAGTTACAATCGCTAATTTAATTCAGCTATATAACTTTGCTACTTTAACATAGAAAACTGGCTGTGCCTATATTACGGCTGTAGATTTGCTAAATCAGCGAAGTTCTTAGTTGTTTTAGCAAATCTTTTTTTCCGTGAATGGATATAGATATAGAAGTGTAGATACGTTCGAGCGCTGCATACCTGAGTGATTGATATTGGTGCCCTTGTTGTTTAACATCATGTCTTTCATCTCCATAACGACAGTGCTGTAGCTGTAGTATGGTGCATACTTTAGCGCCTGATATGGCTCTTGGTAGTCGTCCAACTTCACGATGTCTAGAAGACGATTACCGAGGGGCAATGTTGGTAAAGAACCACCTGCGTATCTGAAAGAGAAGCAATTGATTAGAGGAAAGTCACCGATACTGACATAGGTCTCCTAAAGTGACACCCCCTTATTTCTCGTAAACTAATCTTTGCACTTCATTAATATTAATGAAAACATAATCTGTTTTGGTAATTAAAGAAGTAAAAACCCATAATTCTGTATATGTAGCTTGTTTCTATACAAAATCAGCTAAAAACGAATTCTACAAATGTGAAAACAAAATTCTTATGATGTTATTTTATAAATTACGTAGTTTATGTAATAGTAGCTATATTAGTGATAATATTAAGTCCTTTTATATGTTTGTAGTTTTCTAAAACTATTTTATTTATATTTTCCTGTTTCTTATTTTTCTTATAATACGGTTTTAAAAATAAAATCGTTTATAGCCTAAACCGGCATGTCGTCACGTGTCCCATCGACATATCGCGCATCGTAACATAACTTGCACACTGCGGTCACATGCGCATGCTCTGTGGCCATATACGCATATGTCAGTTTTGGGGCCCATTTTGTCTAACGCTCGTTTTCGCTTATTCGATAAAAATGTTAATTATTGCAAAATTCTTAACAGTATTATAAAAATTGCTATAGAGCATCGATAGAAGACACTTTCCAGTTTACATTTATATCTTCAAAGATTTATTTTCTGCTTTTCTAAAAAATATAGTCTAAAAACAAAGTAGTATGTCGGTATCGCTGACCTTCCTCTAATAGCCTGAGATTATTTCATTTATCATCAGATTACAGTGGCCAATAATTTCTTGTAGCTATAATAAGATAAAGCAGGGTAATTTAGATAGATTAACAGAAATTTTCAAATTGTATAAAAGATTGAGGTCGCATATAATGTATTCAATCAAACATAGTATTACGCCTGTGCCGAATGCCCGCGCCGTTTCAAGCCGAAAGTAGGTGCCGAATAGCCGAGAGAAGCGAGCGCGTTCCCTTAGGGACGTGTTGTGTTATTATTTGATATTTGACGAAGTTCGGATTGTTCTGTCTGCGAATTGAGACGTGTTCTCGTTTCGTCTCTGTATTTCTTTGTGTAATTAAAGGTGTTTCTTCCTTAAACGAATATCGTTATTTCCAAGCGATCGGGGCGGTAGTGTGCGAGAGGCTACACGTGGTGCGGCGTAACAATATCAAACATACACTATTAAGGCAATAATCGTGTGTAGGCATATTTTAATTATTAGTATGTAAGTTAGTTATCGTTCTAAGAAGAACGTTCGAGAGCTACCGGAAATTTCCGTAGCAGAAATAACCGACACGCGGATTTCCGAAGTCGCGAGGATTGGCTATCGCCCGGGAATTCCCAGATAGTGCCTGATTGAGCAAAAGGGATTGACTCCACCGCGCAAACACCGCGCGATCCTTGCGAGCGTCACGGCGCTCGCCAGTCGCTGTTTAGCTATCTTGACAAGCAGGACTCATATAACCTCGTTATATTATATTAATAAAGGTTGTCGGACAAGACTTTATTCATTCGTGAGTTTATTATTGTTCCCGATAACCACCCACAGTTTATTCAGAAGTGGGATAAAGGATTCAGTTCTACGCGAACGAGAGACATATAATTCGGAACAAGCATTGTGTGAGTGCCGGTGCAGAAATTTCGTTACTGCGAGTGCGAAGCGAGAACAAACACGATATTCGGTGTGTTGTATGTGTTACGACGTCCACGATGTGCTCTGTGAGAGGCACGTGTGAAATATTCTTGTGAAGATATTCGAGTGTTGTTGTGACTGTTATCGTTCTGTGAGGACGTGAAAACCAATCGTCGTTCCAAATCGCCTGTTACCGGAAATATCGAATTATTATGGAACCACTGCAGAGTAATGATTTTACCGTGATTGAGTTGAAAGAAGCTCTTCGAGAGAGAGAATTATCTTCGAAAGGATCGAAGGCAGAGCTAGTCCAACGCCTGAGTGAGTACGATTCAAATATTTGAAAGATAATGACCGAAAGACGAAACAGGATACCGGCGGCGGGAGAAACATCGACTTCTGTGATGCCAGGGATACCGTGTGAGACAGCCAATGCAGAGGATTATGCATCGATACCGGAAGAACGTCACGAGTCTGAGCTACGAGAGCATGATGACCACGTGCAACGTGAGCTAACGTTAATTCGCCGGGAGAGAGAGTTGTTACAAAGAGAGCAGCAGCTGTTGCGTAGAGAACGCGAAATGAACCGTTGCGCATCAACGACCAGCGCCATGTTAGCTGTTGGCGGCGTTCGAAATCTTCGAGATCTGTTGCCTGAATTCGACGCAAGTGATAATACTTTCTAGAGATGGAAGAATCAGTTGGAACTGTTGAGAAACTGATCGTATGAATTAGATGGCAACTTAACAAGGATTTTAATAAGATTCCAGATTGAAAGGAAAAGCGCTTAATTGGTTTTATTCCAAAGCAGAATATTTGACGATGAGTATTGAAGATCTGCTGAGAGAGATGAAGCAAATGTTTGATTCGCGTCCAAAGAAGTTGTCGCTTAGAAAAGAGTTTGAGGCTCATGTTTGGAAAGCAGAAGAGTCATTTTGTGATTATTACCACGAGAAAGTTATTCTCGCCAATCGGGTGCCGATTGCGGAGGACTTTTAGATTATTTTATCGATGGCATAAGTGATACACGTTTACAAAATCAGGCGTGTATCATGAATTTCCAGTCGGGGCCAGAATTACTGCCCAGCTAGCAAGCTCACGTGATAATGACGTGATTATGAAGTGATTTTGATGACAATGCCGTCAAGTGACATAAATGGAACGTTATTTTGACGTCATTTGTAATACCAAAAGTTGACGTCACCGATATGACGTCAACTAGATGTTACATTGATCATATATATGACCATTACTAATTAATTATTTTTTGTTATTATTTGTGTATTATTATTTGATGTATCATTTTATCCTTTAATATTCGATGAAAAACAAGGATAAAATGATGTCATGCGCATTACACTTGCGGAAATGATACATATACTAATACATACACTATCATATAAACACATAAACCATCTGTTTTCAATATTTCCATTGAACAGATATATCACAATTATACAGACATTGACATACAGATTTGTGGGTCATCGAAGTACAGCAGTTCCCGTACGATTGTCAAGGTTAAGCATGCGAGGTCGTGGTACAACTTCGGATGGGTGACCGTTTGGGATATATCATAAAAAAAATTAATTCTCGAATTTAGAGAAAATTTTTTTTTTCAGTAATTAGGGAAAACTGACCGGTATTCTACTTAAATTTCTACACGAAGTATATACGAATTTACTACTGCATTATTGTACTAGTAGTGACACTAACAGTACTTTTTAGTCATATTTACGTCTTCCTGACGTAATAAATAACGTCAATAAGATGTGACATAATCACGTGATATATATGTCAAAATAACGTTACTTTTATGTCATAATTGACGTTATTTGTACCAAAAATTCACATCATTATCACGTGACCTTGTTAGCTGGGTGAGAGCCTTCGAGAAAATCACTCTAGATTCCAAGAGATCCAGCGATTTTAAGAAGAAAAGTGATCCGAAGTTACCTAATGCGAAAATCGAAGCGTCATCCACGAAAGGGAAATCGACGAGATGTTTTAAATGTCAGGCTATCGGACATATTGCTACTCAGTGCAAACGACCGACCACGCCAGCGACGAAAAGAGCCTGTTACGTTTGCGGATCAACGAAGCACATGGCGAAAGACTGTTCCGAGCAGAAGCAGCCATCAGTGTTACAAGCCAACGAAAAATCAGTGCAAGTCACCTCCACGAATGTGATACAACCCACTGCACTTCCAGGACCGTACATGGTTACAGTGAAAAACAGTCCTAGCGAAAAGGGCGGTAAAATAGTAAACACTTATGTAATTGACGCAATAATTGATTCGGATTCACCGATTAGTCTCATTCGTAATAGCGTTGTTGAGAACGAAGCACGTTTTCCTGTCAAAAAGGACACTAGTCAATTTGTCGGAATAAACGGTTCGCGACTTAAAATTTTAAATGTCTTTTATAGTCAAGTAGAGATACGGGGTGTAAGTACAAAAATAAAGTTCTATACCGTACCTGATGATACGATGGCGTATAAAGTACTTTTAGGGCGAGACTTTTTAGCATGTCCGTCATTGCGAGTTACACTTGGAAGCGATGCCGAGATTGAAAATGTCGAAGAGATTAGTATTATGCAGATAATACATTTCGAAGCGAGCGAGGAAATAAATAATATTCGAGATAAATTACAAATACATCCTGCGATAGATTTAGACAAAGTTGAGAAAATTTCTGATATTTTTGAGTCGAGTTACATACCAAACGTTAATGCAAAGAAATGCGGACCTGATTTCGAGATGAGTATTGCGTTGAAACACGATCAGCCAATAAGTTCCCGTCCGCGTCGATTATCGTTTGCTGGCAAAGAGGCATTGCAAACAATTTTAGATGAGCTATTGGAAAAAAAAATTATTCGACCGAGTAGTTCACCGTACGCGAGTCCTATAGTATTAGTGAGAAAGAAAACTGGCGATCTTAGACTATGTATTGATTACCGAGAATTAAATAAAATAACGATACGCGATAATTTTCCAACGGAATTAATTGATGATAATATAGATCGTTTAAAAGGCAAAAAATATTTTTCGATTTTGGATTTGAAGGATGAATTCCATCATGTTAAGATACATGAGACATCAATAAAATTTACGTCGTTCGTAATTCTACTGGGGCAGTATGAATCAACGAATATTTGCGGATGCCGTTTGATTTAACAAATGCGCCACGCGTATTTCAACGCTTTATTCATGCCGTGTTCGAACGTCTTGTGAGAGAACATAAAATATTCTTGTATTTAGATGATATCTTAATAGCTGAGAGCTTAGAAGAACATTTTGAAATCTTGTCTCAATTATTTGAGTTAGCTGGAAAAAGTCATTTACAATTCCGATTAGATAAATGTTATTTCGCCCAAACGGAAATAAAA